TATCTCTCGAATGTTAATATTTTAGGTAAGTTTACTGAATTCTAATTTCATAAAAGTTCATAAAATAGATAGATACTTTATTTATCCCAAAGGAAAGTATCCATTAGCATACAAAATACAAAACATACATTAAACATACATTAAACTAAAATTAAAAACCCTAACCTTAAGAATAGAATTAAAAATAAAATAAAAGATAAAATATTATATAGTATTATATGTATATAATATATAATATTTACAGTAAAATATAACAGTGCAAAGTGAGAGAGAGTGAGAGACAGACAGAGAGAGAGAGTGAGAGAGAGAGTGAGTGAGAGAGAGAGAGTGAGAGAGTGAGAGAGAAAGAACAACACTGGTGTTTAAGCTTTGAGTAGAAAGATAAAGTCGACTTTATTTGATGGTGAAACCTAAATAAGATCTGTGATTACAAAACAGGTTCCCCACGCAGTTTTTTAAACGTCACAGAGGTTGGAATGCTGTACTGACAGAAAGGCATCAGAAAGAGACTGGACCTAAAAAATATGAACTCAAAAGTAAGAGAGCGGACACTCGGGGTTCAGAGGGAACACAATTCAGTTTTTTTGTTTTTAAAAAGTTGTTCCTATGATCTATGGCAGTCAGATTAAGTTCATGAACACATCTATCCACTCCCAACGTCAGAAACTGGAAAATAAAAGCAAACGAGAGGTTATAATAAAGTCTGGAGATGCAGGGAGTGAACAGGCATTGATGGTAAAGATTAAAAACAATCCTGTAGCGATTTTCTAATCGTCTTGATATCACTAATTCATAATGAGCCTTGTTTGGATATAAAAACTCACAATACACAAAATCAGCCTCTTGTGCACTGGGAAATACCAGATGATCAGAAGTGTAAGACAAGTGTTAAGTCTTTGCTTTTTCAGCTTTCACAAGAGAACCATGTATGTTCCTAAACACTGACTGCACTTTCCTAGACCACAGAAACAATGTACTGTACATAAAATCTTAAACTGAGTGGCATTTCCCTTTAAGTAGCCTCCAAACTAACATATACACATATACGCACTCAACAAATATACACTCAAGCGCATCCTATCGTAATCCATCTGCAAAATTAAACATTCAAAAATATTTGCCTTCTCAATACTCTGGAAAAATATAGTACTGTAGGTCTCATATGTGTTATCTCTTAAATCGACTACTTTTAAAAAGGAATAATTCAATATTCTGGGAAATGCTCTCACTTGCGGTCTTTCCGAGAGATAAATGAGAAGATTGACCCCACTCCCATGGCTCTGTGGTAAATATGAAGCTACAGCCAGCAGACAGTTAGCTTAGCTTAGCATAAAGACTGGAAACAGAGGGGAACAGCTAGCCTGGCTCTGTCAAAAGTAACAGAATCCTCTTAAAAGCACCTCTAAAGCTCACCAATTACCATGTTTTATTTAGTTTAACACCAAAGTGTAAAAAAACAAAATTCAGAAATAGTCCGGTGCATGACCTCGTCTAAAACCGCCTGGTGTCAGAACGACGCAGGCGGCGGTGTTGGTGAGGCCGAGTTGTTGAATGAAACAAGATCCAGGAAGTAAAAGAGTAACAGAGTTGAGTTTAAAAGCTTATCCACACCAAAACACTGCACAGCGGCTTGTAATACTCAGCAAAATAAAAACCGTTTCATCTTGGGTCACGGCGATGGCGAGGTAAACAGGAGAAATATGACACGTGGTTGGCCAACACAGCAACTTGCTGGATGACTCCTGTTGCGTTGCAGCAAAAGCTGAGCCTGGTTCAAATGAGAGCGCTGCGTCTGGGGCCAAAGTCAGTCTGAACGCAGCTTTATACAGAGCCAGGCTCACTGTTTACCCTCTGTTTAAGACTTTAGACTAGGCTAAGCTAACCAGCTGCTATCTGTAGCTCATAAGGACATGAGAGCGACATCAATCTTTTCATCTAATTGTGACCAAGAACGGTAATAAGCCCATTTCCCAAAATGTCTAACCATTCTTTTAATTCCAGTCAGGCTGAAAAATGTTTCATTCTTTGAAAGCCCCGTTCTCAATACTTTAGTGTAAATAATCTTGCAGGTGTTGCGTTACAACAATTAGCTTCACGTTTTCACCCAGATAAAAAAAATATTTACCAACACCTGAAACACAAAAATAATCTCACATATATGACATTTACCCTAATTGTGAACAAGTTCTGCCTTCATTGTCCCAACTAGAGTCACTCGGTCCATATCTGGGATTACTGTTCTTTAGGATTTTTCTGTTTTGGCCATGCACCTCCCGTCCTACATCTCTACCGCTCCCGATAACAGCCCTTTTCTATACATTAATGGACACTAAATGTCTAGTTATGGATCTGGTCCCATCTGCCCCAAATACTCCCAAAGTCCGCGGTTCCCTTCTTCCTTAAGGATTGCACCCAAGTGTTGGCAGCAACAAGGAAAAGCACATTAAAAAATAGACATCTTTAAATAGCTATTCAGCTTGTCTAAGTGCAGCACAATCGGAAACATTAAATTCAAGTCATTATTATTTTCTCCCCTCCCATGTATCATACAATGAATATAACAAAAAAAAAAATCATTTTCAGTTAAGAAACTAAATGTGAAAGGATACATCTTTGATCAGACAAATAAACAATATACTGCAGCCACACTGTAACATCCAAAAATAGTCTTAAGTTGAAATATATATTTTTTTTCTGCCAAAGAAATGCTGGCGTTCTAAGTCACTCTAAGTAGATTTAATATACTGTTGAGGTGTAATTTGTGTTTTTCTGCCTCCGTTAATCCTCTCCTGACAGTCCTGAACACGATGTCAAACCGTCACGGAATAAAAAACTGCCGTCCGCTGTCATTTGGCACATGGGGTGCTCTCATTGGCCACCACGCTGACGTCAGGGTCGTCGTCGTCTGTGGCGACGGCAGCAGCATCAACGCTCTTGTCCTGGTGGTCATTATTATTATTACTATTGTTGTTGTTGTTGTTGCTGTTGTTGTTGTTGTTGTTCTGGACACTCGGGAGCCCGTGGCTGTTGTTCTGGACCAGAGTGGGGTTGCTGAGCCTCAACTCCTCCAGCTGCTTCCACAGCTCGTCCCTCTCCTGCTCCTTCTTCTTCTCCCTGCGCAGAAGACATTTTAAGAATTTTAATTTAGGTAAAAAAACAAAAACAACCAACAACAACAAAAATATGAATACAAAGTGACACAAATTCAGTCCTAATTAAAGATACAAGTAGCAGCATCTTCATCGAGCATGGCAACTTCCAGTGGATGCAGGCTCGAGGTTTTTGTGAGTCCCAAATGTTGAACCAGATCTGAAACGAACCCGTAGAAAACCTCTCCAAACCTGACGAACATAGATTCATTTTAAAAAGAGACCTGATCTGAAGGGGGGCCGGGCACATTCAGACCTGATGCCAATTAACAGGGTGTAAAAGAGCTGTAGTATCATTATAATGTCCAAAGAATTCATGTAATGTAATAATTAATTCATACGCTTCCAGGACTAACTTATAGAAATAACTGAAAGTCTGATTTTCACCTCCTGCACCAACCATAAAACATCCTGTATGCAACAGAAGAAGATAATTGTTTAATTCATTTAGTAGGCAACAGCCTCCCTAACCTCATTTCTCTTGCTGTTATAATGACATACCACTTCTCTGACCTCTGTAAACCCCTCAATAGATTTCTATGGACATCAAATATAAAACCAAGATGTCTGTGCTCATTAACCAAACTGTGAGACACAAATTAAACTAGTATTGTCTCGCAGTTGGAGCATCCTGTAGAAAATACAACGCGGGGATGTTTGTACATTCTCACAGACGATGAGTTATCGGTCAACAATAAATACAGTCATTTGTATTCGCAGCCTCCACTCAGTGCGTGACTCAGTTACAGAGTATTGTGTGTGTGATACAGGCAGCGTATAAAGTTTTTACAAAACATCCAGTACAGTGGAAGTGAAATGTAACCTGGCTTTAGCTGTCACTTCATACTATTTATCTCTCTTTTACGCTTAAAAAAGGGAAACACAATAATATGGATTAAAATCTTTTGCTATTGTCAGATCCCTTTTGGATGTTTGGTGGCGTTTTATTACTGTACCCATTCACCCGCTGCACTTTACTGTGTTCTAGAAGTGGACTGTAGGTCAAACGTGGCAGATTCAGTTGATTGGACATGATTTAAATAAAAGGTCACACAATTCATAGATCAAGAACCTCTTCTATCTATCCAAACAGACACATGTTAACATCTGGTTTGCAAGGTGAATTCAATTATTTAACTGCCTGGTGGAAAACCAGCAGTGACTGACAGATACTGCATTTATTAATTTAATAATTCCTGATGGAGTGAAGATGACAAACTGGTTTAAGTGGCCTCGGGGACAATTCCTGAGATTGGTCCAGTAGGTGACAAATGTAATGAGATAAAGGAGTGTTCAATCTAATTCACAGTCTGTATTGTGTCTGTTACTGACCGTTGCCTGTCTGCTTTATAGGAGGAAGTCAGCTCATCAAACAGCGTGCAGTTCATCTCCATCAACGTCTTCAGCACGTTGTATACCAGAGCGACGATTGTCCTGCAACGCAGCGGAGACACCCTGGCATCAGTAACACAACTAGGAAGCACTCAGAACAGTGGATATTTTTAACATGTTTAACTCTGTATCACAAGCCTAAACAAACACACTGCCAACAGTTTTCATATGAACTATTTCCAATAAGTAGTTCTAATAAAAACCATTAACAGAGCGGTGTGTGGGCTGTGCACAGTAACAAAGACAATCATGCTGGGAAAAGATCAACAACATCTTTCTAAATTCCTTTCACCTCCATCGACATAATGTGGCAACATAAATCTCAAACCTGGGCTCATTACAGTGAAACTATCTGTATGACTAGATAACACCAGGGTTGAGCGGGGAAATGTTTGATGCTCCTTAACGGGAATTTAGTATTGTTATTCTTGGATTTTGTTGGCGTCTCTTTTTCTTTTTGAATGACTACCCATCTGTTATCTCCAGTGCATCACTAGTGGACTACTGATGAAAATGAGCTTTTAGTTACATATTGTACAATACATGCATTGTGCATTGTCATTGCTAAGTAAACATATAATAAAATACCTAAATGTTCCTAATTGTATTTGTTTTGTAATCAGTGAACTGATTAATATGTGTACGATCACACAGAATAGAAACGTCTCTATTGATAAACTGTACAAATATCAAAAACATTTGAGCCAATGAGACATAATCAATATATTAAACTGTAACTAGATAAAGATATTTCACAAAACAACACAGAGTACCTGACAGAGCTGAACTAACTGGGTGATATCTTCTTATTTTATAATTATATTCACTTTTGACTGTAATTCAGTCTCTTTCTCTGCTCTTCTCTCTTGTATCTTGTGTTTTATCATTATTATTAACATCATGGTTTTCATACTTATGGTATCTTGTTTACTTAATTCATCTCAAGCTCTAAGCGGTGACTTAATTGGCAACAATAACATTATGTGTTTTATTGTTGCACTTGTACCTTTCTTCCTTCTGAAACTGTTAATAAAAACATACTGTTACTATTTATGCAATTAATGTTGTTAAATAAGTTGACAGATTTATGTTAACATGCAGCACTTACGTTTAAATAACACGTTAATTAATACGAACTCCAACGAAAATTAAATAAAAAAAATCCTCAGTAATACAGAAAATGTGTGTGCGCACAACAGCGAGGGACATCGTGTCATCACGTTGGCGTCTGTGTGTCTGACGAACGTGTACATGTAAACACTATCTGAAGACACAACGGCCACTTAATTCACACGCAGCAGGTCGTGATAGATGTTCGTTCTTAAGATTTGGCAACAATAAACAGAATCCTCTTGCTAATGATTCACAGATGTCGTTGAAAGCATTAATCAGTCAGTGGACCTTTGAGCTCAGATTTTCTTCGTAATGCGACAGGTTTTCTGTAAAAAAGAGGGGGATCTGAGTACCTCTGGAGTTACCATGGTAATTCGGCTTAGCGTGTGTTACTGTACGTGAAGGATTATTAAATTAGTCAGACGGCTTTACTGCAACAACCCTCTCTAGACTGGAGGACTTACGGATTCCAGTGCTCTTTGGAGATTCTGTACAGGCTACCAAACATGATGGGGAGGATCTTGTCGATGTTCTCCTCGATGAGGCTGAGAATGTACTCGTTATTCCAGAAGTACAGCGCTCGCTCTGCTACCTGTGAGGACACAGACAGAAAACACTGCAGTGAAATCTCTCCATGAAGCTGACAGAGAGTGTGTGTGTGTGTTGGTTAATGATAAAGACCTCTTTGATTTTCTACTGAATTTATATCAATCATTAGAAAGGAAACAAAAGCCCCGTTCAAACAGGAATCTCATTGTGTAAATCACAAGTCACTTTAATATAAAAGTCATAACAGCAATTTCCACTCCAGTTTATTAAGCACACAGAGTTAAAACTAAAGTGGTCTTAAGGCCTTTGGGCACCAAGAACGTCACACATTTAAAAATAAATACGACCTCAAGTTGTGTCAATCATGTTTACACAATGACTCCGAAACTTTTGCAACAGGTTCAATTTTCTTTCCCTCGCACAAGTCAGAAGAGGAGAGCACGCAGACAGCGAGCGAGAGAGAGCGACAGTGTGGAAACAAAGAGGGAGGACAGATACGCTTATTGTAGCCACGCTGCAGAATGCAAGATGCAGGCAGAAAGTGGCCACAACTTGCGGAGGTTCCTCCAGTGGAGAGAAGCAGAGGAGGAAATGGGAGGGGAGGAGTCAGAAACAGAGCGACAGCAGTGAGTCTATCAGCAGGTGAAACTCTCCTTATTACTGACACCTTGCACCCAGTATTTCCTTTTCCTTTTTCTATTTTCAAGTGAGAGGACCACAAAATCAACCGCATTGCCTGATGACTCAGTTTTGTATTGTGAATTTCCCACCAAACAAAGTGCAAAGTTTCTCTGTGTAACAAGTTTAATCTGATGGATTAAAACATACCAAAAAATATGGATTTGGTGTTGAAAGGTCTTAATACTGTAATAAATCCAACCTTCATGAAGGCGATAATGATGAAACGGCTTTAGAGAGGTGCTGATTCAACTGTATGATCCTTTTAGAGGATGTAGTTTGAGGTGCGTTAACCAGAGAGGTGCCAACCCTCATTGATATATATGTCAGTACAACACACAGAATTACAAGACACTGCTACATGAAACATCTGCTGGTGACTCATGTGTAAGAAAAATATAAATTAAAACATTACACGCACTTCCAATAGTAATATTTTCCAACTTAAAAAGGTTCAGTGTGTAGGATTCGTGTTTGAAAAAAGCAGAGTGAAACGAGTGCTTGCTATTCTGCAACTACACACTAGATGCCAACTAAA